CCCCCCCCCGGCCCAGCGCCCCAAAACCTAAAGCCCCGAAAATGCAGACCCGAAATCCCAAAACCCTCAACCCTAAACCGTAGACCTCAGGGCCCGGGCGTCTCAAAACCCAGGTGGCCGTGAGCTCCGGTGGCCACCAGCTCCAGGATACCGGTGTGCACCTGTGGATTTGCTCTCAAGACTTCTAACTTGCGCGTAGGGTTTAGGGCTCAGGGTTTTTCAGGGTTTAGGGTTGAAGGATTTATGGCGTTAGGGTTTTAGGGTTTTAGGGTTTTAGCGGGCTCCAGGAGTTTCAGGAGTCTAGGCTTTCAGGGGCCTTCAGGGGCTTGAGGGTTTAGGGTTTCGGATTTAGGGTTTAGGGTTTAGGGTTTAGGGTTGAGGCCTGCGAGGCCGCGGGGCTGCGGGGCTTTGAGGGCCCCCTGTTCTCCTGCCTGCTTCATGCGCACGGGCGATGGTTGAGCCTGGGCGACTTTACAAAGAGAGCAAAGAGCACTGCATGATGCACTCGCCCTAAACCCCAAACCCTAAACCCTAAACCCTAAACCCTAAACCCTAAACCCTAAACCCTAAACCCTAAAGTCTGTCGTCATCTTGCAAGTCTTTGTGAGCAGTGTTCTAATGTACCTTCTTCTATACTCCTTGTGCGCCCCACTTCCTTTCTTGCGGCCCGGAACAGAAGCCCCTACATCAAAGGGTTGCCTGTAGGCTACTCATTCGTTCTGGAGCAGGTCTAGATCTACATAGTCAGCTAAGACAAGGGTCCACTCAACCGCCGGCAAATGCACGGATGACTTTTCTTCGCCGCCGCACGTCTAACCGGCCTGGGACAGACTTCTCCTGCCTGGGCTCCTCAGCTCTGTTGTGTCACTCAGAGGAAGAACTGTACTTCAGGGTTTGTGTTGTTTTGGGGATTCTGCTTGAACAAGGCTCTTCCGAGACAAAAATGATTCCACACAGCTCTGCGTGATTTCATATGGCGTACGATCTCAAAGCTACAGCGGCTTGCAGGGTACACCCTACAGTACTGGGTTCAGGGGTGTAGGGTTTAGGGTATCCGTGGGTTTCCTAAGAGGAGCCCCATTGGTTGGAGCTCCGATAATGGGGAATAAGGCTGGGTTTAGGGTTGAGGGTTTAGGGTTTAGGGTGTAGGGTTTACGGTGTAGGGTTTAGGGTTTAGGGTGGGTATGACCAAGATACCCTTTCGCACAAGGGACCCTCTACTTGGTCCGCTTGGTGCTACCGGCCGCAACCGCAACACGCGCGCTTCTCAGGCATCTCAGTCCGACTTGCGCCACACACCCACGCCTTGCCCTCCGCGTGTGCTGATCACAAACCCCGGGCCTCCACGCAGCAGCGCAAGCAGCGGTGCTCGGGGTCTAGGTGTTTAGGGTTTAGCGTTGAGGGTTTAGGGTTTCGGGTTTAGGGATTCAATGTGACACGCTGGGCTTCGAGAATCAAGCCGAAGCGTTTCCACAGGTCCAAGACCGAAAGACACGAAGTCGGACTTCCAACCTGAAACCCTAAACCCTAAACCCTAAACCCTCCGTGCCTGCCGAAATGCAAAGCTCCTTGGGCGGCACCTGCGAGAGAGAAAGAGGAGCTTCCTCTCTCAAGTGCTTCGTGTAGCCCGGGCTTTGGTTTGGGGTTTGGGGTTTGGGGTTTGGGGTTTAGGGTTTAGGGTTTAGGGTTTAGGGTTTAGGGTTTAGATGTTTCCCCCTTATACTACAGTAACAGTCCTCAAGGAGGATTCGAATGGGGATACTATAGTCCCGGGGAAAGACTGTTCGTCTTAGGGGGAACATCCCAAGGTTTAGGCTTTAAGGCGCCTAAGGCTTTGTTTGGTCCTCTTGCGGAACCCTCACCCTGTCTTTGCCTTGCTGCCGCCAGAACACCCCTTGCACTGCACGTCCTTAAAGAACAAGGTGTAACCGTAGGCATTGGGTAGATTTTCTTCTGTGAGGAGGTATGCTTATTCTAGATAAGTGTGCAAGCACCACCTAAGCAGACCTTTGCTGTGCCGGCCTGTCCTTCACTAGCCGCGGTCCCTCTTCTTGAATACCCTACATGTACGGCCTCCTACTTGCCTAGGAACCCCCCCAGAGAGTGAAGAATAATGGTCCCTAGATTGCCCTGATAAGGAAGAACATCTTGTTTTGTGGGTCGTTCTGGAGCAAATAGTGGAAACTCGAAACGGGCCACAACTCGAACCCTGCACACGGTACTTCGGGTCAAGTCCCCCACTTCAAAAAAGGCGGACCATGACCCTAGAAGCACCCTGCATCCCCCCCTCAAGCCTAAACACCCTGAACCCCTCAACCACTTGAGGTTTCCGTGCCGAAGAAGCTGGAAGTTCCAACCCAAAGTCTCAAGAGTTCCGGGCTCAAGACACAAACTTAGTAGCCCAGTAACCATATTTATAATCAGGGCACCCTTTTTTTTGGTTGGTTACTTTATAAGGGAACCAGAACCCACAAAAAGGGAAAAGGGTACCAGTGGGCTACCAAGCAAAGAGAGGCCCGTGGCTTCGCACCCAGGCATTACGGACATGGGTTGAACAGCAGTGGCATCACCAATCTTCGGCGCTTGCTGAAACTGCCTGCATCTTCCCAAAGCTGACACCCATCTCGGATTCGAAATAGGACCTCAGCGCTAAGGGCCCTAAGCAGGGGATAGGATTAGGGGGACCCTCGGGGTTATAGACCCTCTGAATAAGGTCCCTGTTTAAGAGGGGTTAGGACTAGGGGCTGAGTTTCCGGTTTCCTTGCTACAGCCGTGCGCGCGGGTTGCTTGCACGCGTTGGCGCCCTGCTCATCGGGTCTCTTCAGTGCTCTGCTTACGGTTACATAAACTTGGTTAGGGCCAGGGTTGTGGTCGCAGATGTTCTTGAAGAAGGTTTGCAGGTAACTTCTATCCAGTACGGCATGTCAAGGGTTGAGGCTTTCGGCTTTAGGGTTTAGGGTTTAGGGTTTAGGGTTCAGGGTTTAGGGTTTAGGGTTTAGGGTTTAGGGTTTAGGGTTTAGGGTTTAGGGGCTGTGGGGTTGAGCCGCATGCGGCCTACTTGAGCCCTCTCAGTAGCAGATCTTAAGTGTCACGTTAACGATCAAGATCTGATACTGGCGCTGAGCATCTAAACAGCAAGAGACATAATCATAGGAGCAGCATCAACAGTCAGAAGAATCAAAGGGGAATGGCCATAATCATAAGAATCAATGGGGGGTAAGCATCATCACAAGAGCCAAAGGGGAATAAGCATAATCACAAGTATCCAAGGGGAATAACCCCTAAACCCTAAATCCTAAACCCTAAACCCTTAGCCCTCATCCCTAAACCCTAAACCCCTAATCAAAGGGGGAAGAATCAGAGTCTCAGAGTCATAGAACATGACTTGTCTTGGGCCCGTGCATCAGCTCCTCCCTCACGTTGCTGTCGAGAGGAAGAGCCCTCGGCTCTCCCCCCAAAGCAGCCGCTAGGGTTTACGGTTTAGGGTTTAGGGTTTAGGGTTGAGGGTTTAGAGTTTAGGGTTTAGGGTTGAGGGTTTAGGTTTAGGGTTTAGGGCAACAAAGTGGCTTTGAGGGTGTTTTAGGGCTTATAGGGCTTTGGGGATTGTATCTCTACGGGTCCCCAATGAAATAGGCCGGGTCTCTGCCAGCGCCCACTGCTGGTGTGCGACCAGATGTGGCGGAGGGCATCCACTGTCTCGAGGCCCTCTCTCTGCAGGATCGCCCAGGAGTCCTCCAAACACGGTGCCTTATTGGGTCCTGATAAGAAGGGCTTCCCACTATTTGGGGGCCGAAATTAGGTGTCCCCTATTTTCGTAAGTTGCGGTATTTGCATGTCAGCATCTCACGGCGTTGGTTAGAGCATCACGGAATTGACATCACACGGCCTCTTTGTAGATGAACTGAGACCCTTCTTGATACATTTTCGAACCTATAAAACAACTGAATGTTTCAATATGTTGTTTATACTATACACCATATATATATATATATATGTATGCAATGTATGCAATATATACAATATATACAATATGTACAATATATACAATATATACAATATATACAATATATACAATATATACAATATATACAAAATATACAATATGTACAATATATATACAATATATACTATACATATATATATATATATGTGTACAAGCAAGCACATGCCCCGATCGCCGAAAGGTCCGGACGCCTCCGTCTGCGTTTCCGAGATCCCCAGGCGGCGCAGCAGTGTCAGGCAGGACATGGGCGCCAAGGGACGACAGGAGGCCAACACTCGTCTTGGGGGCACCCCAACAAGCGCTCTCTGGGCCACAGCTGCAAGGAAGCTGAGGCAGCTGCTTCGCTTCTTTGGGGGGGGGGGGGGGGCCTCCTACCTGGAAAGTCTCATATACAACATACATAATTATTGTCATATGTTCTATATAGTACTAAATATAGCATTGTATTGAATGTGTAGATACCATAAACAAATATAGTTACATACACACGCGGCCAAAGGGACGAGTGCGAGAGCCGATGCCTTTGAACCCTTTTCAAGAACCCTCAACACATTACTTGCACTCTTATGATGAGCTGGGTGGGGTCGAACCCCCTACCCCCACACTGCCCTCCTACCCCACCCCCAAAACCCCAAACCCCAAACCCCCTAAACCCTAAACCCTAAACCCTGAACCCCAAACCCCCTAAACCCCCTAAACCCTAAACCCTAAACCCTAAACCCTAAACCCTAAACCCCAAACCCCAAACCCTAAACCCTAAACCCTAAACCCTAAACCCTACCCCCTATGCCCCTACCCCCCTGGCCTCCTACTCCCCTACCAGACTCCTGGGTGTCGGCTTTTGGTTTCACCCGCTTCTTCCTGGCTTGGTTCCAGGGACTCCTTCGCCTCCTGGGATGGCCCTAGCCCTAAACCCTAAACCCTAAACCCTAAACCCAAAAATCTTCTTAGACCCCAAACAAAAGGAAAATGCACTATAGAAAATGTCCCAAGGGCCCTACCGAGGCTCCAGGCTCACCACAGAGCCTGCTCCCAGCAAAGCCCAGCTTGCAGCGGGCGTCCTTCCGAGCTCCTGAGCCCGGTAAAGTGACGCATCTTGTTGGGTGTTTCACAAGGGTCTTGTTTGAGTGTGTGTTTTGCAAAACGGCCCGTTTTAGGGGTTGAGGGTTTAGGGTTTAGGGTTTAGGGTTTGGGCCGTTCGGGTACGACTCTGATTTTTGTCAAGTTGGCAGCATTCTCAAGCTCCTGGAGCCAAGCGAAGATCAGCTTCGCGCTCACCCGGGGCCCCTCGTCGCAGCACTGCAGCGCGAAGGTACACGGGGAGCCATCCTCCTGCTTCAAGGGATTCTGGTCGACGATGCGCGAAGTCTTCTGCGCCGCCGCGTAAAGGGACCTGGTGGACATACCCGCGCTTGGAGGTTCATGGGTACTTAGAAGTAGGGGTAGGGCTATGAGGACCTCAAATAAGGTTATAATCATGGTTACCCTACTAATAACACCACTTATAAGTACCCATGCAGTTATGGTGTTGCTGCAACAGCTGAACCAGCAGGCTCATGGGTACTTAGAAGTAGGGTGATAAGTAGGGTAACCATGACCATTATTCAGGGTCCTTATAACCCTACCTACAAGTACTGTACCCATGAACCGGAAAAAACCCTTAACCCTAAACCCTAAACCCTAAACTTGGCACCTTTGCTAACAACGCTTCTGTAGCCTGCTGTCCGCCTCCTTGTCAGGGAGGATGAAGACCAAGGCGCCACCTGTGGAGCTGGAGGGGGCTTGGGGTTTAGGGTTTAGGGTTTTAGGGTTTTAGGGTTTTAGGGTTTTAGGGTTTTAGGGTTTTAGGGTTTTAGGGTTTAGGGTTTAGGATTTAGGGTTTAGGGTTTAGGGTTTAGGGTTTAGGGTTTAGGGTGAGCGGCTTTGAGCGGGTTGAGGGTCTTGAGAGGGAGGGTCGTTGGCCTAGGGCTTCTAGAGCTTTCGGGCCTCTTAGGTCTTACGGAGAAGCTGTAGCACCTCATGCGGAATCTCAAGCCCAAGGACCAAAACAAAACTATATTTACGGCAAAACCCTAAACCCTAAACCCTAAACCCTAAACCCTAAACCCTAGCACGATGCCTGAGCTCACGAGTCCATGGGCGGACCGAACCAGCCGCAAAGATCGCCGGGTCTGGAGGACGCCCTCCTTGGGGCAGTCTTGGGCTTGGGGAGAAGGGTTTAGGGTTTAGGGTTAGGGTTTAGGGTTTAGGGTTTAGGGTTTAAGGTTTAGGGTTTAGGGTTTAGGGTTTAGGGTTTAGGGTTTAGGGTTTAGGGTTTAGGGTTTAGGGTTTAGGGTGGAGGGTTGAGGGTTGAGGGTTGAGGGTTTAGGGTTTAGGGTTTAGGGTTTAGGGTTTAGGGTTTAGGGTTTAGGGTTCCCAAAACCAAGGAAAGTATACCCGAAGAAAGATACTGTACCCTTCTTCTCCCCCCAAACCCCCCTAAACCCCCCCAAACCCTGAACCCCCCTAAGCCCCCCTAAGCCCCCCTAAACCCCCCCTAAACCCGCCTAATCCCCCCCTAAACCCCCCCCCCTAAGCCCCCCTTCTCTTCGGCAAGCCCGCAAGCAGGCTGGCCTCCATGGACTCCAGCGACGCCAGAACGTCCTCCCCTGTGCTGGGCCCCTGCGGCCCGAGCTCCGTGCAGAAATGGAGCACCACGATGAGGCCCAATCTTGGGCCGTCTGCAGGGGTTTAGGGTTTAGGGTTTAGGGTTTAGGGTTTAGCGTTTAGCGTTTAGCGTTTAGGGTTTAGGGGGTTCGGATGCGTAGAAACTCAGGGTTTGCAGAGGAATTCCAGGCATGTTTGGGAGTTTCGGGGCTTGATGGGGTCTCGGTGGAGGGGGCCGCTGTGGTCCGCGTGGTTCTTAACAGAGGGCTTCCAGTTTAGAGTGATGGGACTTTCGCGCGCTTAAACCCGTAGCTTTTCTTGGGTGCTGGCTTGGGGTCTCCCAAAGAAAAGCCGGCCTGGCTTGGGGAAGGCCTGCAGCACGGTCTCCATGACATACGCATCCGCCACATCCTCGCAGTCCTGCCGCATGGTGTAGAGGGCCTCGGCAAAGATCAACTCCCAGCTGCCCCAATATCACGACTCTACATTTGGGCCACCACCAAACCTTTGGGGGCACACCCCGAAAGTCCGGCAGACGAGGCAGACGAGACGGCGCCTGCTTCATCCGGGTCGAGGCCCGCGGCGGCTGGCGCAGGGATGGGGGAGCCACCGTCGGGAAGGCAGAACCTTGGAGCGCCCCTTCTTTGGTGCACTACCTCCTAAGCAAGCGAGGCGTGCCATACTTGTTGGGTACGTATATACGTACATATATGTGTATACATATATACATATACACACACATGTATGTATATATGCATCCAGTGAAAGAGACCAACCAAAAAGACGCAACATACACGTCACGTTTAGGCTGCAGGGATTCTCTCTATGCGAACCCTAGAAGTACCTCACGCCGGGCGTCCGGATGCACGACCGTCCCAGGCCACGAAGATCTGCCTTCCAGATCTTGCCAGCAAGGAACACAGCCTTAGTAAGTGCCACTCTTGGGACCCTTCAGCCCTAAGCCCTAAACCCTAAACCCTAAACCCCTAACCCTGGATTTTTTCAACGAAAGCTGAGAATATTCAGGGGCCCCCGGCGCGATGGCAGTGGGCGTCCGGCTTCCATGCAGAACATACACCTCGAACCCCCCCAAAGGGCTTGAAGGCTGGATATGCAAGATTCTGATACGTACCCCAGACCTAAACACGTGCCTAACCCTAAACCCTAAACCAGAAACCCTCAGCCCTGAAAAACCCAAAGTGTGTGCCTCCGCGCCGGGCGAACTCTCCATCACACAGCCGGAGGTGGAAGCTTTTCGTGCCCCACAGCTGCGGCAAAGCAACTTTAGATTGCGACGAAGGACGTTTCTCTGGATTTCCCCCCCCCCTACTGTTCTTCATGGGTACTTATGAGCAAGCTTACGTATAAGCAGAGTAACTTAGGCTATAACCTTTAGGGTACAGAGTACCCTACTGAACTTCAAGTAGACCCCAAGCCCTAAACCCTAAACCCTAAACCCTAAACCCTAAACCCTAAACCCTAAGCCCTAAACCCTAAACCCTAAACCCCAAACCCTAACCTAAACCCTACTGAAAAGCACCCATGAACCTTCAAGAAACCCAGTCGGGATTGGGAGGAAAAGTCAGGTGGCAGCGCCAGGGCCCCATGAAAGCCGAAGCTGAGGACCACACCGCAGCAGTGTCAGCCTGGTTCAAAGCAAGAGGTGGCTTGATGGGTTTTCGGGGGTTTGGGGCTTTTAGGGGGTTTGGGAGGGTGTAGGGTCTAGGGGTTTGGGGGTTAGGGTCTAGGGGTTCGGGGGTTCGGGGGTTTAGGGGTTTAAGGGTTTAGGGGTTTAGGGGTCTAGGGGTTTCGGAGGTTTGGGAGTTTAGGGGTTCCCCCCCAAAAAGAACCGGGCCTGCGCATGCTTCTCCGCCGTCAGCTCCTCGACTTGCTTCTCCATGGCTTCCAACTCCCTCTGCTCCTCCAGCACCACCTTGTTTTTCGGAGGAGGACCACCCCCAAAAAAGAACAACACGCACCCCAAACCAAGCCCCCCCCCCCCCGAACTCCAACCCCCACCCCCTTATGAACCCATGGGCCCCACCTGCTCCCGCCGCTCCTCCGCGCCCTGCAGCAGCTCCTGGGCGCGCTGCTCGGCAGCCTCCAGGCCCTGCTGCGCCTCGCTCCGGGCCTCGCCCTGCAGCGCGTCGCGCTGCGCCTCCGCGCGGGCCAGGAGCTCCCGCGCCTGCTCCCGGGCCCTCAGCTCCAGGGCTTCCGCCTCCTTCTGCTCCTCCACCAGCAGCTGCTGGCGCCGTTTCTGGGCCAAGGCCATCATCTCCTCAGCGCGCCGCTCCAGGCCCTCCATCTCGCGCTGCTCCTGCAAGATCACGTGCTCCCGGCTGCGCAGCTTGGCACGCAGGTCCTCCTCGCCGGCACTCAGGGCCAACTCCCGCACTCGAAGGGCGGAGGCCAGCTGCTGCTCTGTCTTTGCCTCTCCCAAGTACTCCCGCTCTCGGTGCTGCTGCTGACTTCGGAGACTCTGCTCCCGCGCCGCCAGCTCAGCTTCCCACTTCGACACCTCCAACGCCGCCTGGTTCTCCATTTGGCGCGTGAGGCTCTCTTGGCGGACGGCCTTGGCAATCGCTTCCTGCGCCTCCTCACGGGTCAGGATGGCGTGGCTCTGCTCTTCCCGGAACTTACGGAGCTCGCCTGCCACCTCCTCCATCGCTGCCTCTCGGGCATAGAAGCCACGTGCTGCGGCTTCTTCTGACTCAGCTTTGGCCGCGGCCACGGCAGGGAGCAAAACCTCCCTCTCCTTCTTCTCGTACCGGGCTTGCAACTCGGCCTCACGTTCCCGATCACGCATCTCACTCTGGGACAGGATCTCTTTCTCGCGCTGCTGAAGCAACTCCTCCCAATTCTTCACCTCCTTTGCTGCCGCCTCTTCGCACTCTCCGGTTACTTTTTCCCTGGCCTTGGCCATTTCCAGCTTCTCTTCCGCCTCGTCTGAAGCTACTGCCGCTTGGGTCTGCTCTTCCCGGATCCTCTGCAGTTCCGTGGCCACCTCCTCCATTGCAGCCTCCCGTGCATAGAACCCACGTGCTGCAGCTTCCTCCTTCTCAGCTCTGGCTGCGGCTATGGCAGGGAGCAGCACTTCCTCCTCCTGAGTGTCGTAGCGCGCCTGCAACTCGGCCTCACGCATCCAGGTGCGAGCTTCCGCCTCCTCGGAGGCTGCCGCGGCTTGCGCCTTCTCCTCACGGACCTCTTGCAGCTGCCCCGCCACCTCCTCCATCGCCGCCTCTCGGGCGTAGAAGCCACGCGCTGCGGCTTCTTCTGACTCCGCTTTGGCCTGGGCCAGGGCAGGCAGCAACACCTCCTGCTCCTGCTTCTCGCACATGGCCCTCAACTCAGCTTCGGAGCTCTCCGCAGGCCCTGGCTCCTTCGACTCCAGCGCCTGCTCCTCCCGCTCCTCCCCAGGCTTCTGCAGCTCCGCGACCTCCTCCAAGGTGCTGCCCTCAGCAGAGCCTTGAAGCACCTCCACCCCCAACCCTTCAGCTTGGCTTCTCAAGGCCTCCATGGCTTCATGAGAGCCCTGGACCAAAGCAGCGGATCCGGCGTCCAGACCCCCGAGAAAGCTTCCGGGATCGGATTGGCCGGGCCCGACCTGTGTCGCACCCACACCGCCAGGTCCACCCAGTCCAGCTTCAGTTGCGAGCCCTGCTCCCGGGAATGTCTGCGGGGAGCCGCCATGTTGCTGAAGCGGATCTGGGAAAGTGTGGTGCTGCGAGCCCTGCTGATGTCCTTCCTGCGACAGGGGCTGCGGGCCTTGCCGGAAGGAGGCGTGCGCCTGTGCCTGTTGTTGCGCGGCTGGATTCTGCTGCAGCTGCTGCAACTGCTGTTGTCGCTGGCGAAGCTCCATTGTGGATACCTGTGTCGCACCCACACCGCCAGGTCCACCAAGTCCAGCTTCAGTTGCGAGCCCTGCTCCAGGGAATGTATGCGGGGAGCCGCCATGTTGCTGAAGCGGATCTGGAAAAGCGTGGTGCTGCGAACTCTGCTGATATCCTTCCTGCGACAGGGGCTGCGGGCCTTGCCGGAAGGAGGCGTGTGCCTGTGCCTGTTGTTGCGCGGCTGGATTCTGCTGCAGCTGCAACTGCTGTTGTCTCTGGCGAAGCGCCATTGCGGATGTCGCACCCACACCGCCAGGTCCACCAAGTCCAGCTTCAGTTGCGAGCCCTGCTCCCGGGAATGTCTGCGGGGAGCCGCCATATTGCTGAAGCGGATCTGGGAAAGTGTGGTGCTGCGAGCCCTGCTGATATGCTTCCTGCGGCAGGGGCTGCCGGAAGGAGGCGTGTGCCTGTGCCTGTTGTTGCGCGGCTGGATTCTGCTGCAGCTGCTGCAACTGCTGTTGTCGCTGGCGAAGCTCCATTGCGGATACCTGTGTCGCACCCACACCGCCAGGTCCACCAAGTCCAGCTTCAGTTGCGAGCCCTGCTCCCGGGAATGTCTGCGGGGAGCCGCCATATTGCTGAAGCGGATCTGGGAAAGTGTGGTGCTGCGAGCCCTGCTGATATCCTTCCTGCGGCAGGGGCTGCGGGCCTTGCCGGAAGGAGGCGTGCGCCTGTGCCTGTTGTTGCGCGGCTGGATTCTGCTGCAGCTGCTGCAACTGCTGTTGTCGCTGGCGAAGCTCCATTGCGGATACCTGTGTCGCACCCACACCGCCAGGTCCACCAAGTCCAGCTTCAGTTGCGAGCCCTGCTCCCGGGAATGTCTGCGGGGAGCCGCCATGTTGCTGAAGCGGATCTGGAAAAGCGTGGTGCTGCGAACTCTGCTGATATCCTTCCTGCGACAGGGGCTGCGGGCCTTGCCGGGAGAATGCCTGTGCCTCTTGCTGTGTGGCTTGAGACTGCACCTCCACAAGCTTCTGCTGCAGCTGCTGCAAGTGCTGACGTCGCTCCCGAAGCTCCTCTGAGCGTTCACTGGGCTGGAAGGAGGGAGGGGGAGGCCCTAAACCCTAAACCCTAAACCCTAAACCCAAACCCTAAACCCTAAACCCTAAACCCTAAACCCTAAACCCTAAACCCTAAACCCTAAACCCTAAACCCTAAACCCTAAACCCTCACCCTCAAGGTATGCCCAAAAGTGAAGGAGAAGGGCGTCCCCCCCAAAAAAATGTCTTCCGTCCTGCAGCTCCTGGTCGACCGCGTTCAGATCGGGGCCCGGCGACCTCTTGATCCCGTGAAGTTGAACTCTAAACCTTATAAACCCTTAACCCTAAACCCTGAACCCTAAACCCTCAACCCTAAACCTTGTAAACCCTAAATCCTAAACCTTACAAACCCTTAACCCCCTAAAACCTACATCCTCAAGAATCCTGAATGGTCCCTTTTGGGAGCTCTGCTCTTCCAAGGCGGCCCCTCGAACCACCATGTTGAGAACTGATCATAGGAGGAGCTCCAGGAATCCTTCAGTCCTTCAGCGCTTTTACCCCCAGATTTCCGGCTAAAAAGGTTCTTCAGGGTACCTTCTAAAGCAGGGCCAGAAGCACCCTACATAAGTCTAAAGAAGGCTATCACCATGGTTGCCCTACTTATACGTACCCCAAAACCCTGATCCCTAAACCCTCAACCCTCAACCCCTACGTACAAGTACCCCAATGCAAGCGGTCAATTTGCAGGGGCCGCGCCTCACCGTGCCAGGCGTCGCCGCACGCACCTCGAAGCCTTCAGAGGCCAGGCGCCTGGGTGCAGGAAGGTAGGGTTTTGGGTTTAGGGTTGAGGATTTAGGGTTTATGATTTAGGAGTTATAAGGTTTATAGAAATTGCCTAGGGTTTGTGTCCGGAGTTTTGGGGGGGTTTTGTTTTTGTGGCTTTTGCCAGTTTGGGAGGCTTTGGGACCCCGCGTAAGGCCTCCGGGGCCTTTTTGGGTTTAGGGTTTAGGGTTTAGGGTTTAGGGTTTAGGGTTTAGGGTTTAGGGTTTAGGGTTTAGGGTTTAGGGTTTAGGGTTTAGGGTGTCAGTTGGGGACATTTTGGGTGCCTTTTGGGTCTGCTGGTGTTTTTGGGGGGGTCTCCCGTGGCGTTTGGGGCTTCCCGTTGCCTTTTCGGTGCCTAGGGGCTTTCTTTCCCTGCTGAGGGTCTGTTTTCATGCTTGAAAGCCATGCTTTTGTCTGATTTTTCCAACACGAAGGACGCAGGATTATTGTACGAGCTGCTCGTAATGAAACGGGCACAATCTCTATTCATCCTGTCCTTGAGGGTTTAGGGTTGAGGGTTTAGGAAAGAAGGTTTAGGGTTTAGGTTTTAGGGTTTAGGGTTTAGGGTTTAGGATTTAAGGTTTAGGGTTTAGGGTGCAGGGTTTAAGGTTAAGCCTTAAGGCTTCAGGGTCCACAGGGCTTTTGGGCTTTACAAGGCCTCGGGTTGAGGGATTCCGGTTTAGAATTTCGGGTTTAGGGTTTAGTGCGGGTTTAGGGTTTCGGGGTTTCGGGGTTTCGGGTTTCGGGTTTAGGGTTTAAGGTTTAGGGTTTAGGGTTTAGGGTTTAGGGTTAGATTGCAAACTGTGGCCAGCACGGCTTGAAAACCTGAACCCTTGCCTGCCACGGTGGTCTAAGCTCCACGCACGAAGCCCAAGCGAAGAGGCCGAACTGCTCTCCTTTGCTGGACGCAGCTTGGGTTTTAGGTTTAGGGTTTAGGGCTTAAGGTTTAGGGTTTAGAGTTAGGGTGTAGGGTTTGGGGTTTGGGGTTTAGGGTTTAGGGTTTAGGGTTTGGGGTTGGGCTGTTCCCCCTTATACTAACAGTCCTTAGTAGGGATTATAATCGGGGACGACAATCCCTATTTAGGACTGTCTAAGGATTTTAACAGGTACTATAATCCCTAGTAAGGACCTTTTCAAAAAGGGTGAACATCCCAAGGCGCAGCTCACGTGTTTGGAAACTGCATCGGAAGCCGCATCCCCACCCATCTATCCATCCAAGGCGTGACAACCCTAAACCCTAAACCCCTTAAACCACTGCCTACCCACCCCCCACCCCCCGCCAAAAAAACAAGATAAATAAAAAGAACGAAAATCTCGAAGGCCCCTCAAGCCTTCTGACATCAGATGTAATTCTCGCAAACGGTAGGCTGTCTTTGGGGGGGGGTTTCATGCAAAAAGAACACCCCAGTCTCCAACATCTTGAAATGCCACTCCAAAATTCCCTCAACGGTTCTTCATTGCAGGGGTTCGGAAAGCGACATACAATCCATATTGTTGTGCTTGCATATCCATGGGACTGTACCTGGGGTCATTTTTTTTCAGTTGTGGTCCCTTCGGAGGTGAGTTTTCATGATGAGGCGGCCCCCGGAATATTTGGGGTGCCCAAACCGTGACCATCAACTTGAGAACTGGCCACTTCTATGCCTACAAATACAACTTCTAAACCCTAAACCTTGGAACCTTTAAACCTCTAAACTCTTAACCCTGAACCCTAAACCCTAAACCCTAAACCCTCTGCATCCGAGGCGCAGCTCCTCCGACACCTCCTCGGGGGACATCTCGGCGGTCGGCCGGCCCTCGATCCAGACGAGCAGGTCACCTAAGCGGAGGTCAGGGGTTTGTTTAGGGTTTAGGGTTTAGGGTTTAGGGTTTAGGGTTTAGGGTTTCGGGTTTAGGGTTTAGGGTTTAGGGTTTAGGGTTTAGGGTTTAGGGTTTAGGGTTTAGGGTTTAGGGTTTAGGGTTTAGGGTCATGAAGTAGAGCTAGGCCAAAAGACGCCCAAGATAGACGTCCTCTTGGTGAACACACCGGAAACAAGACTCAAATTCCCTGGCTCATATCATTTCTACGGTGAAAGCGAGCGTTGAAGGCCTCCAATAGCACTTCGTTTGATCGGAGGATGTCGGTGGCGGAACGCTATCTTGCGCATCCCGAAATCGGAAGATGAGTCCTTCCCTACTTACTAGGCTACCAGCAGGGTCACAAGCACCCTTACTGATTTTAGAACAACCATGGCTGCCCTACTTACAACCCTACTCTGATGAACCTCCTGAGGCCCGCCCCCCTTGGGTTCCCCACGGGCTTGCAGGCCATGCCCCCAAACCAGGCCACCCAGGAAGGCCCGCACGATGGAGGCCTGCAGGGCAAAGAAGATCTTGGAGCAGGGCTCAGGGTCCTCAGGGTTCAGGGTTCTCCGGGTTTCGGTGTTTAGGGCTTGAGAGGCTTTAGGGCTCAAGGTTCTCAAGGTTTAGGGTTCAGGGCTCAGGGTTTAGGATTTCGTGGGTTCGCAAGGTCAAGGGGTTCAGGGGTCCTCAGGCTCCTGATAGGACACGTGCGGGAGAGGCCTCGTGAAGCGGTGCCCCACTTAGCTCCACCCCCAAGTCCAGCACATCCTCCGGCCGTTCAGAGGCTAAGGCTTCCGCGGATGTGGGGGGGGGAGGCGGGTGCGGTCAGTTCTCAAGATGATGGTCCCTTCTTGGGTACGTTTTTTCAGTAGAAGGGGGCCGCCTTCTAGTAGCAAAGGGACCCTATTGTAGAGCAGTGACCATGTAGATTTCATTCGTTTGTTTTTTTTTGAGGGGGGGGGGAGGGGGGTAAGAGACTGGTGGGAAGGCTGGGGAAAGTTCTGCACCCTAAACCCTAAACCCCAAACCGCGAATTGCATGCACCCTTTCTCATGTGGGTCTTCGAGTGGGGTTTAAGGTTTGGGGTTCAGGGTTTGGGGCTTCGGGTTTCGTATGAGGATCCTGAAAACACCTACCCTGCCCTGGCAGCGGCTTTTGCAACGGAAGCGACTGAACCGAACTCTGGGGACACATGCGCAAAAAAGGACCCCCCTCCCCCCCCCCCCCCTTTAGGGTTTAGGGGTTTAGGGGTTTAGGGGTTTAGGGGTTTAGGGGTTTAGGGGTTTAGGGGTTTAGGGGTTTTTAGGGGTTTAGGGGTTTAGGGGTTTAGGGGTTTAGGGGTTTAGGGGTCTAGGGTTTAGGATGTAGGGTTTACGGTTTACGGTTTACGGTTTACGGTTAGGGTTTAGGGTTTAGGGGTTTAGGGGTTTAGCGGTTTAGGGGTTTGGGGGTTTAGGGGTTTAGGGGTTTAGGGGTTTAGGGGTTAGGGGTTTGGGGTTTAGGGTTTTGGACTCTTGAGCCGACATGGTGAACACGATCCTCAGCCACCTTTCCGCACGCAAGCAAGCCTCCGAGAAGAAGAACAAAAGAGCAGAGACTGCGAACGTCGCTCCTCTGCCACGTTGACCCAGAAGTCCTGGGGGCATTTTCACAACTCACTTCTTGCTTCCTTGCATCTCTGATTGCAACCTTAAGCTTCACGAAACAGAAAGCCTCTTAGGATTTGTTCGTCATGTTTTGGGCCCTAAACCCTAAACCCTGAACCCTGAACCTTGAACCCTAAACCCTGAACCCTAAACCCTAAACCCCTCAACAAAAGAAAGGAAAGGGAGGCCTTCACCACGAGGGGCAAACTCAGGCTCTCGATCTCCAGCACCTCGTAGCCCCGAGGGGCGGAACGAAGGAGCGAGCCTTTCACCTTGGGGGGCGTGGGGAGTCCAGGCTTTTGAAGTCAGAAGATGGGGGCGGAGGGGGGGATGGGGGGGGGGGGGGATTTCTAAGGCTTCAAAGGCTTCGCTTTGGGCGTGCTTAAGGAGGGGAGGGATTCTCGGATGCTTCAGAGGTTTCGCTGATTTTTCGTTGCGGCACAGACGCACTGCACGGCATCTTGATTTAAGCGCTGGGGTGCTGCCGCCCTGGATCACACGAAACTTTGCGAGCCCCGAACAAGGGGAATGTAAGGGACTAAACCTTAAACCCTACACCCTAAACCCTACACCCTAAACCCTAAACCCTAAACCATAACCCGTCCCAAGCCACTGCCTTGGGCTCCGACCGCATCTGCCAAGCTGCCATCTTCATGGGCCTGGAGAAGCCTTTCGAAGACGAGGATTCGGCTGCTTGGAGAGCTTGGAGATATGGGCAACAGATCCGCAGATGAGCCCTGAATGACCCTTTATCCTCCTAAACCCTAAACCCCGAAACCCTAAACCCTAGTAGCCCTAAACCCTAAACCCCGAAACCCTAAACCCTAGCCCTAAACCCTAAACCCCGTGAAGTGACGACGCAATGCTTCAGCTCCACATGGGTAGCTACGCATGGCTCCAGCCAAGGAGAGCTGGGAGTGAGACCAGTGGGTGGCCGAAGAAGTGCCTCCGTGGGAGTGGGGTTTAGGGTTTAGGGTTTAGGGTTTAGGGTTTGGGGTTTGGGGTTTGGGGTTTAGGGTTTAGGGTTTAGGGTTTAGGGTTTAGGGGATTTGGGGGTTCAGAGATTCTTTTCTCCGAAGCTGGGCATCGAGTTTGGGATTGAGGGGTGCAGGGTTTAGGGGGCTTAGGGTTTAGGGCAGGGTCTCAGGCCCTTCTGAATCTGAACCTTCCCGACAAGACTCCCACGATCTCCCACGTACCGGGCTGCGCTTTCACAGGACTACTGAAAAGCCCGCCAAGACCCCGCTTGGCGGATTCAGGTTCGTTTTTGGATCCAAAAGAAGGCAGACGATTAGCTAGCCTTAGGGCATTATAAAATGGGGTCTAGACAAATAAATATGGCAAAATGAACCGTTTGAAACACCACATTGGAATGAATTATCGGTTACATATGAAAGAAATATTTCTATTTTCATGAATGGAGAAGTAGATCAGGAGCAGCATGCTACCACCTGTTGCCACATCCGAGCTGCCATGAGATTCCTCCTGAGGGGCCCGGCCGTGGGATGTGGCCAACGCTAGGTAGACCTGGGCAGGGCCCCACTAAACCCTAAACCCTAAACCCTAAACCCTAAACCGGGGTACAATGATCTCGAATAAGAGGTAAGCAAGTCACAGGGGCCCTTCACCGCTCATCCCAACGTCTCGGGACGGCGCGGGGACAGTAAGGACTGCTAGTATGGGGGGGGACACATCCCAACCCAAAACGCAAGCCGGCCACAACCAGGCCCTGAACTCGAAGGACCGGGTCCACGCATGGCGCCAGCTGAGGACCGGGCGCAAAGCAAGCCGGGCCTCGGGACAAGCACCGCACGCGTGGGCATGAGAGGCGGGTGCCTCACCAAAGAGACGCTTCAATACTACAGTTTTTTTGGGGCCAAGACGCTTACATCGTGATTCCTAGGTTTCCTTCGAAGTTTAGAGATACCCCAAAAGGTATCGAAGAGCACCCCCCCCCCAGCCACTCTTCCAAAGCAAGAAAGAACCCAAAACACCCTACATCTGCAACACACCCAACATCCCGAGCCAAGACCCCTCGGACTCTCAAGCAATGGGGGGCTGTTCTAGCACAAGGCACGCCCTTTTTGATACCCAGGGAAGGACCCAGATTCAAAACAACCCCCACGTGAAGGTTCACGGGCGTTTCCGGGATAACTAGTCCCCAGAAAGTCCATCGTCACTGATATTTCTTCATAGTCTAGGTTAACCTCTGGTGGCAGCTACCCCTGACCCCGGAAGCAGCCCCAAAAACCCAAAAGCAAAGCCCTTAAACCCTGAAACCTATATAAAAACCCTGAAACTTGTGCCTGAACCCCAAAAGCCCAAACCTTGAACCCTAAACCCCAAAGCCCCTAAACCCCGAAACCTGAACCCTTAACCCCAAAGCCCCAAACCCTGGTTCTCTATTCATTCTCGACTCCTCTGATTTCGAAAAAATAAAGATAAGAAACAACAAGAAACGAGGGATTGGAATTTAGACTAGTTCTCTCCTCTCTTCTCAACTTCTCTACTTTTTCGAATTACAAGAATAGTGAAGACAAGAAACAACAACAAGAAACGAGGGGGGGTGGACTTTAGAGTAGTTCTCTACCCTCATTCTCTTTTTTCTCTGATGTCAAGTGATGAAAACAAGAAAAACAAGAAAAACAAGGGGGGGGTGGAATTTAGACTAGTTCTCCACTCTCTTCTCTAGACAAGAAACAAAACAAGAAACGAGGGGGTGGAATTTGGACTAGTTCTCTACTCTCATCCTCTTTTTCGCCGAGGGAAGGTGGAATTAAATCAACTCTCCTCCTCCGATTTTGAGGGAACCCAGGTTTGAATCTGGGCTCGAACCTGGGTTGGACCCAGAGTTCAACCCAGGTTCGAACCCAGGTTGGAACCTGGGTTTGAACCTAGGTTCCGAACCCAGGCTTGAACCTGGGTTCGCCGGAAAGAAGGCTGAAACCTAAACCCCAAACCCCTAAAACCCTGAAACCTGAACCCTAAACCCCAAAGCCCCTAAACCCTGAAGCCTAAATAAACCCTAAACCCCAAAGCCCCTGAACCTAAACCCTACCCCTAAACCCTGAAACCTAAACTCTAAACCCTTAAACAAAACCTGAACCCTAAAGCCCTGAAACCTAAACCCTAAACCCCAAAGCCCCTAAACCCTCAACCCTGAAACCCAAACCCCTTCAAACAGACCTGGACACAGCGCTTGAGACCCTGGCCGCGGCCAGGCGACCGAAGCCCCGGCCGCCCGATCCAGGTGCTCGCAAAGACATAGCCGCACCTGGTCATTGGGGGTTAGGGTTTGGGGTTTAGGGTTTAGGGTTTAGGGTCTAGGGTTTTCGGGTTTTAGGGTTTTCGCGTTTTTGGGCGGGAGAGAGCAGGACAAGTAGGGATTGGGCTTGTTGATGTTGGATCTAAACCATACAGGCACTCTAAACCAAACACCCTACCAAAAACCCCCCTAAACCCCTATGAACCCTATAAACCCTATAAACCCTATAAACCCTCTAAAACCCGACTCGACGCCCGATGCAACCTGAACGCGACCGCCAGGAAGGCTTCTTTGGGCACCGCTGAGGCTGCTGCGGCTCGCAGGTGAGGCCTTCGGCACAGTTGGGACCAGGGAGTTTAGGGTTTAGGGTTTAGGGTTTAGGGTTTAGGGTTTAGGGTTTAGGGTTTAGGGTTTAGGGTTTAGGGTTTAGGGTTTAGGGTTTAGGGTTTAGGGTTTAGGGTTTAGGGTTCTAAACCCTAAACCCTGAGCCCTAAACCCTAAGCCCTTTGAGCTTGGAGGCTGTGATCTAAGGGTAGCTTCACATGGTCCCTTAGGGGGGGCCGGTAAAGGGTACCCCTTGTAGACCCTCTACAAATTGAGGCCCTTACATCAGAACCCTTGCGAGGAGGGTAGGGACCAGGGTTTAGGGTTTAGGGTTTAGGGTTAGGGTTTAGGGTTTAGGGGGCTGGGATGTAAGAGGGCATGGGTTAGGAGTTAGGGGTTCCTAAGTACGGCCGTCGAGGGCACAGTTCTCGCAAGCCCTCAAGCTTTCATTGCCCAAGCGGTCACTCTTGGCCAAGCTTCACAATCGCGCAACAACAAACCCGGAACCCTAAACGGGAGGGCAGTGGCATAGGGGTTTACGGTTCCTTTCTTTCTAAGGGTCGTTTCATGGGCCTTTAATATAAACCCTAAACCCTAAACCCGGCCTTCCTGGGGGCAGCTGCTTCGCAACTTCGCCGGCCCTGGAGCCTCCCAGCTTCACCTCGAAGTACCAGACCTTGGGGGGGGGGGCTTGTGGTGGCCTTTGGGACGTTTCTTTAGGGGGCTCTTGGCATTTTTTGGCAAGGGTTTAGGGTTTGGGTCCTGGCAAGGAGTGGAATCTTCCGGTTCAGTAAGCCACCAACTGCACATCCGGTCTCTGCCACCTTCAAGAGCCTCCGTCGGCTCAATGCGCCCTTAGAAGTGGGGAATCGCAAAATTCGGGGATGCACTGAGAGCGTTCGCCGGGTGATGTGAATCAAGGGCTCCGACTGGTGATGCAGCTCTTGCGCCGGAGTCCTCACCTCCCCTGAGTGCGGCTATGCGCAGAGGTCTTTTCACCACGCAAGGCGCTCCCTCTGCATGTCTGTTGAGGTGGTAAGGGCCCATCTCGTCCACATCTCCGGACATCAAGTCATGGAACCTGCCAGCTGCAGACAAAAAAATTCTTTCTGAAGTTGCAGAATACCGCGCCCACCTTGCGCATCTCTTTCGCTCTCTCTCTCTCTCTCTGTCTCTCTCTCTCTCTCCCTCTCCCTCTCTCTGTCTCTCTCCCTCTTTCTCTCTCTGTCTCTCTCCCTCTTTCTCTCTCGCTCTCTCCCTCTCTCCCCTGCCTTGCTTCGCAGGATTCCAAGAGGGCAGGGTGGCATGCAGGGCAGAGCGAATTCTGAGTGTCGTCACGTTGTAGATGCTCCAGCTTCACAAGCGAATCATGCCATAAAGCACTCACAAATGCAAGGGGACGGCGTGAGACTCAAGAAGGACCAGAACAGCTGATACTAGCTAGTGTGACGATTATGGATCATGGAGCTGGCGAGCATGGCGACGCGCGACTCGTCTCCTGAAGTACTTGCCAAAAGTCTCCTACCACTTCCGCGAAAACGTGCCTGAGCGTTCCCATTCCACAGGGCCCGCTCCTACTCCTTGCCAGGTCATTGCTATATCACCCGTGCAGCATCGACATACAACGTCAGTATTGAGTTGCGCAAAATCACCAGCCGTACAAAAACAAACTGTTCGCGAACTGCAGGGAAGGACGAACCATGTTGGCGTCTCGAAGATCGAGAGCAAGACGAGCCCTAGCAAAGCTCGCTTGTAGCTCACCTGGGCATGACGCCACAAGTTGTACCCGAAAACTTCCCCCTCGTGTAGTCTAGGAGGCGCGGTTGCTGATACAGATCACTGGGACGTGATGCGAAGCAGGTATGCTGAAGGTTCAGGGATTGTATATGAGGCTTTTGGGATGCTTCATCCAACACGTCGAAACCAGATAAACACCCCTCAAGAGTAAAGGAGGCCACACCCCAACTCTGAAAGCTCCCACAAGCTCCAGGCTCCGGTAAGTTCCTGAAGATTCCTGACGCTATAGACTGCGACTCGAAGAGGACCTAAAGACTCTTCCTCTGTTGGGGTCTCTGCAACTTACTACCCAGAGTACCCCCAAATCGTACCCTATACGATTCTTTGGTGCTTGTTAGGAACCCTTAAGGAGATCTACTTGTCGGAAGCACATTTGATCCACTGGGCTTCCAGCCTCAGACCAAACCTCGGCAGATGCAGAATGCCGACCGAGGAAACGCATCACTGGAAGCTGCACCTTCAGCCCCAAACCCTGAACCTGAAACCCTAAACTTGGAACCCTGAAACATTGAAAACCTGAACCCGAAACCCTAAACCCTAAGCCCTAAGCCCTAAACCCTAAACCCTAAACCCTAAACCCCAAACCCTAAACCCTAAACCCCAAGCCGTCTGAGCCCCTGGCAAACTGAAAGTGTGCCTCCCGCGCTTTCGGCCTCTCGACATGTGGCGCGAAAAAGAAAAAGGCCAACTCTAAGGACCACCGGCATGAGGGTTTAGGGTTTAGGGTTTAGGGTTTAGGGTTTAGGGTTTAGGGTTTAGGGTTTAGGGTTTAGGGTTTAGGGTTTAGGATTCAGGTTTTAAGGTTTAGGGTTTAGGGTTTAGGGTTTAGGGTTTAGGGTTTACCCTCGGCTGCCACGGCGTCTTGGAACGCTGAGCTTCGTGCGTGTCAGGGTACACGTCGATGCAGATGTCCTGGAAGGCATCCTCCAACTGCCACGCCGCCTGCTCCGTGGAGTACGTGGTACACCATCTTCACGTATTCAAAAGTCAGAGGCACCGAATGTAGAGAAAGTAAGGGATAGCACACAAGCACCCACGCAACTTGCAACGTTGTGTCACAACGAGCCTTTTGGATGCCCCAGTGGTCGACTTCCATGCCAAGCTACGGCCAGCTCATGCGTTGAGAAGATGTGCAAGAATTTTGCAAGAATTGTGCAAGAGTTGTGCAAGATTTGCGCAAGAATTGCGCAAGAATTGTGCAAGAACTTTGCAAGAGTTGTGCAAGAATCGCGCAACCACTGCAACCACCAAGGCCTTGTGTGTGATTTTGCCGTGTTTGCTGGGCCCGTGCGGCAGCCGTGCAGCAAGCGCGTTTGCAATCCTCTCCACTCCAACACGGTGAAACATAACGAAAAGGATGCAGCATGCATTGTTTGCTGTGGTTCCGGATCCTCGGTCTCACGGCCTCACACAATCGTCTCAATTCGGGTCATTCGCCCATTTGCCTGAAACAACTAATGCCATTGCCAGGGTGGCCAAGGCACAAGCCCACACGGACCCGAATCTCAATGACAATGACACGCCTAGTGTTCAGCCTTACAAAAGAATGTCTGGCCAGGAGTGAATGGCAGCTGCCAAGAATCCGAAATTTCCGCAAAGGACTGACAGTCCAACATACATACTGCTGTGCAGCAAGTCACCCTCACAATGCCCCAAACGTCATCCTCCCAAAAGGCGAAGGACTTCAATTCAAATGTTTCGCTCGCGGAAGTTTCGACAGCAGTGTAGGTTGTGGCACTTGAGTACACGTCAAGTTTAACACCTACAACTTCCTTCATGCAACGTGCATCATCTAAAAATTAGCTGCGTGAAGAGACAACAGCACACAAACAAAGCAGAAACATCATGTGAGCCTTGGATTAAATTTATGCGCTATAGGGACTGTATCAGGATTATATTGAGGCTCTAACAACGGGTTCTATAACGGCATCCTTTCGTGGATAGGAGGAAATCATAGGAAATCTCAAAGCGAAGGGAACGTGGCCCCCCACGCCCATCCGAAACTCGGCATTCTGATTGGAGAGCAAGTTATTTTAACAGCAGGTTTGGAGAGGGGAGGCTTGCGGTTGAGGGTTTAGGATTTGGGCTTGGCGCGTTAGTTTTCAGGTTTAGGGTCTAAATGTTCCATCTTGGCCGAATAGGCCGCTCTGCCCTGCATCATTTGGACACGTGCCGTTTGGACATGAAAACGCAGTCGAACTGAAACGTCACGATCTTGCAATTCAATAGTGTTCAAGACCCCAATGTACTAATAGTGCTCAGGACCTCAAGCCCCAGAGTCGGCCTGCAGCAAAGGCTTCCGAAAGCCGTCTCAATCAGGCTGTACACCACGTGTGCGAGGTCAGTACTTCCATTTGGAGGCCACACAAAAGACATTCAACAATGTCTTTCTTGGAGGGCCGGGATGGGACCCGAATTAAGAGCGACAGCTTGCGGTGCCACCTCAGGCTGATGTTCCAACGCACATCCGCTTAGAAAAGACATGTTGGTCATGTTGGTCTGAGCTCTGCTTGTAATTAAATCATGGCGCTGCAGTGCTAGGAATACATGCTTCGGGATTCCTGAACAAAAGCAAAAGCTCTCAAGGCACATCCGAAAATTTTGCTTAGATCCAACGCCCTCTTACACCAACTTGGTTTTTTCCCGCAGCTGCTTCGCTCCTGGGGTTATCGTCGGCGACCTTTGGACTCTACCCGGCGGAGCTAATGAACTAGTTTTTTCGGGGGGGATTCTAGGCTTGGACCGTTCCTGTCATTGGAACGGGGCACGCAAAACGGGCACATTTTCGGGGGTTTTGGAGCCTCGGAGACGCCAGTGATGAGAACGACAAGAATGACAGGCCTCACGGCGGGCAAAAAAAAAATTATTTTACTTCGAACATCCCCACCTTACGGATTTGGATTGGGGTTGGGCATTTCAGGGAGTCCCTGGGGTTGGGCACTCCGGAGACTCTGGGGTTAGGCACTCCAGGCAAACCAGGGCACTCCAGCGAGTCTGTGGGGTTGGGCACTCCAAGGAGACTTTGGGGTTGCGCACTCCAGGAGACTCGGTTGGGGCCCTTCACAGTCTCTGGTTTGGGCACTCTAGGACTCCAGGACTGTGGAGTTGGGCACTACAGGGAGACTCTGGGGTTGGGCACCCCAGGGAGACGCTGCTCTGGTTTGGGCACTCCCGGGCGTTGGGCACTCCAGGAAGACTCTGACATTGCGCACTCCAGAGTTTGTGGGTGGGGGTGGGCCAGAGAATCTCTGAGGTTCGGGCGAGGAGCAGAGTTCCGGGCGAGGAGAAGAGTTGAGTTTAAAATTTAACAACCCCACACCGAAGGTGGGGAATAAATCATGAATTAATGAATGAATTAGTGAATTACTTAATGAGTTCATTAATGTTATCGCCATGAACGCTCCACGGCACGTATTAATTCATCACTTAACTTTTTGCAGGGGCTCTAGGCTTGTCATTCTTGTCATTCCTGTCCGTGGCGCGAAGTTTCAAACACCAGGCACACTTTCGGGCTCCAAAGCCTCCGCGCCAATGACAGGAATGACAAGAATGACATGCCTAGAATCCCCTCGAAACAAAGGACTGGCGATAACTTCGACGACAACCTCAGGGCTGTCATTTTTTTTCATTTTTGTTGTCAGGGCCGACTCGGAGGCTTTGGAACCCGAAAGTGTGCCTGTTTTTTGACACTTCGCGCCACAGACAGGAATGACAAGAATGACAAGCCTAGAGCCCCTGGAAAAAACTAAGTGATGAATTAATACGTGCCGTGGAGCGTTTATGGCGATAACATTAATTAACTCATGAAGTAACTCATTAATTAATTCATTAATTAAATATTTATTCCCCACCTTCGGTGTTTTTTTTGCATTTGCATACGCAGCTCAATGGTGATTGAACCTAGCGCGGCTACTTCTACCTGACACATGTATGTACATGCGGCCATTCGAGATGGCAAGTAGAGTGTTAAAAAACCTCCCCCGCGGCTAGCCGCAAGCGGAGAGGCGTGAGGAACAAGCAAAGACTCGACTCGTGAGTCCCGCAGTCTCAGAACTACTTCTACGGACTCCCCAGCTATACAGAGTAGTATCGACAGGAGGAGAAATGAAGAAAGAAAGTAATGTGCTGTACATTGCGTCACTCATACCGGCTCAGTGCATCCTACCGATGAGGTGACCTCATTCGGTTCGACCTGACGTAGTGCCAGGTGATGCATGCACTCTCTGAAGAAAACAGAGGTAACAATCGTGCTGAATGTGGTGCATGAAGTT